AGGCATGAAAAAATTGTTCATTATGAAGCTACCTCTTCTTATTTGCAAGTCAGTTAATAGGTTTATTTTATTTAAACTTTGTGTAGTTAAAAGTCTAAAGGAATGTACACCAAAATGTAAACAGCTGCTAATAAATTTATAAGTAATTTTAATTTTCCTATTCATACTTAATTTTGTGTTTTCTAACATGTACAATAAACATATAAAGTACATAGTCAGAAAAATTAATGTATTTTATAAAACACAATCATAGACGATATTAGACAGTAGTTTCCAAAAAGTCAGGAGGACACGTTGTATAGATAAGAGCTCATTGAGCACCAGGAGATCAGATGTGTCCTCGGGCATTTCTCAGTCCCTTTTCCATTTGGTGAATCCATCACCTATCACTAATTAATTAGCGTCTTTCAAATTATATTTTAGCCCCACACCCTTCAAACAAAAATGTAGAGAAAACAATATATTGCGCAAATACTACAAGTTCTTCCTTAAGGGTTAAACTGTGCTGACTGAAATGGAGATGGGGAACCTGGACCCCCACCCACTAACTCATCCCATCTAGAGACAACTCCCAGGTACGTCTGGAACCCCTTCTGGCTCTAGAGAACACAGTTCTCCATGAAACCATTGGTCCACCTCACTCTGGACATTTGAACTGATTCAGATTTCCTGAGGTTGTTCAGATAAGGAGCTCTGTAAAGTTCATTAAATGTTATGTAAGATACTGATTTCCTTCATTTGCCCTCAAGTTTTCTGCTGATCTCCTTTTTCACATCCAGAACCAATACACATGACTAACCCATCTTATAACTGAGTAGTTGCGTCTGGCCAGAAAGCCTTATCGCCTTCGAGGTGACTTTCAGCTCAGAAGGAAAAGAGAACGATTTGTTTGGTTATGCTTCTCCCTGAACTCCCCACTATCTTTCCCAAGGTTAACAAATCCAGTTCCCCTTTTTGTCATTTGCTGAGCTCATGGGTGGAATAGTTGGTACTTGTGATTCATGGCCTGAAACTCTGCTCCCTTGATTTTTCTGATGCCCTGTTCGGCTGCTTTTCTTCCTTGTATTATTTTCTTCTCTGTCTCATTTGCTGACAGTTTTGTGGGGGTTTTTGGCATTTAGTGCTCTGTCTGTGGGCAACTGATCTCGTCTTGCTTCACTCTCCAGACAACTAATCCACATCAGTGACTACAGCATTGTAGATGGTGCTTGAGTCAGAGTGTGCTTCAGTCTCTCATACATATAGGTCCAGTGTTTTAGCTCCAGCAGTGATATTTCTACATTGAGCTCATGTTAATTCTTTGAAGTCAGCATGCCTAACTCCAGAATCATATTATCACCACTCTTTCCTGCCCCAGCATCTCTACTCTGCCAACAGCAACTCTGTTCTCCCAGTCATCAAACTTGGAACCTTGGAATCTTACTATTTATAACTTTTAGTCCCTAGTGACTGATCTTAGGTTTTTACATTCAAAACTTCTCTTAGGTGTCTCTTTGCTTATGTCTTCATGTCACAGAATTTCAGAACACAAAGCGTTCTTAGCACACAGTTGTTAATCAATAAATATTTCTTAAATCTGGATCTAATCCAGCTCTGTCAAAGAAATTCTCAAAGTCTGTTAACATTCTAAGAAATCTCTGCCTCCCATCCCTCATCTTGATAGTCTGTCTAGTACACTGTTGATTTAATCCTGAAAACGCAATGGAAGTCTGGTGGGCAGTTACCGTGGGGAGAGGAGGGTTTTGAAGTCCTAGTAAAGTTCTCTCTCTTGAGTGGGCTGATGTTTACAAGAAAGAATTCACCCTTCATCAGTGTGATTGAGAAACACACGTTTCTCTACGTGTGTTATTTTAAAATGTTTTTAAAGCCTTTGGATTGAACAGTAAAAGAAAGATACTGTTGATCAAATGATTTTTTTTTAAAAAAGCTATAGAACCCGGCCAGGCGTGGCTCGGCGGTTGAGCGTCGACCTAGGATCCAGGCGATCGGGGTTTGATTCCCGGTTGGGGCACATGCCCGGGTTGTGGGCTCGATCAATGACTCTCTCATCATTGATGTTTCTATCTCTCTTCCTCTGCCTTCCTCTCTCTGAGATCAATAAAGATATATTTTAAAAAAAAAAAAAGTGAAAAAAAAAAAAGCTATAGATTCTAAAATTTTTAGATAGGCAGAAAATTTTAATTCTGAAGATAGAGGATGTCGAGAAATAGGGACTTTACTCGTAAGAGGGCCAGTCGGTACGTGTTGTAAAGTTGGAAGTGTGTGCACCTTGCAACTGGACAGTTCTGCCGCCAGACATACACCCGCCACGAGGAACTCCTGCCTGTGTGCACAAGGAGCTGTGGGCCGCATGCTCACTGCAGGATAGCTTCTGCTGGGAAAAAGTGAAAGGAAGGCAGCCTAGGAGCCCATCAACAGGGTAAATAAAACGCGTTTTCATATAGTGAAATATTAAAGAGTTAAATATATATACATTTATAACCATAGGGCTCTAAAAATACTGTCGTGATGAAAAACAAATGTAGACTATATAGAGCATAACACATATGCATTTTTAAGGTATATACAGTACTATATATTGTTCCTCGACACATATATGTTAGCGTATTTTTAAACTGCTGAAGGAAACTATACGCTGAAAGGGTGAAGCAGTAGCTTCTGGGGGGTGGATGCAGGCCTGGGATCGAGGATGGGGCCCAAGGAGACTGTCACTTCATCCTCACTGTCCTGTTTCTTTAATTTTAATTAAAAAAGCAAAAATGACAAACTGTTAGCATCTGTTCATTCTTGGTGACAGCTCACAGGGTGTTAGTTGTATTATTCCTTGTAATCTTCCCTTTGTTTAATTTCTGAAAATGAAAAATATTGAGATAACAGCATCTCTCATCATTTACTCTTATTTAGTGTGTGGGTATTTGATGTATCTGTTTGTTGTAAGGGGAAAAAAAATATATGTAAATATAAGGATAGCTGAGATAGCGGAATTTCCTTTTTTTATATTTTGTTTATGTTCACAAAACAAACTTGTTTTATTTAACATTCTTTGGTATCAAAACGTGGCCGTCATACAAACTTGTGAGCACGTCGTGAGCGCCCGCGGTTCCGCCACAGCCTGTGTATCCAGAGCGCACTTCCTGTGATCTGCCGCCTGGGCACCGGAGCCAAACAGCCACAAGCAAACAGGAACAAGACGCAAAGCGATTTCCCCTTCGGTGCTAATGACTTGTTGGTATGCGATTGTTGAGACTGAAGGCCTGAAACCAGCCGTGGTAATTGGCTCCATCTCTGGGCTGTCTTCCGGGTCATTCCCACAAGGCTGACAGAAGAAGGGGACCCTGCAGGAAGCCCGAGAGCGCAGAAGCCCTGCTCTGG